TGAATTTTATTGGCGTGTTGCTTGTATTGGTAATGTTTCCCTTGTTTATAAAAATTTAATTAAAGAAATAAAACTACGGTATTCGTAATAATACGGTAACTAAATTATTTTTATTACAATATAAATATAATTTATAAAGTTGGTGGGGCCTGCAACGCTGAAAAAAAAGGTTATGAATCCCTGTCCTAGAATAGTGCCTAGAGCCTTTGCTAAGATTACCCACATGAACCTTCCCCCCCCCCCCCCCCCCCCCCCCCCGTTCCATCCGAATTTCACGCGGTAGTTCTAATTCTATGATTTCCGTGTCTAGATGTAGCCATAAATTCTCACGACTGTCATTGTAACCATCTCCCGATTGTCCGGCTGCTTGGCGTCCTGTAACTTGACCATTGGCAGGCATTGGCCATTCTTCGGACCGCTACTGATTCTCTCAGTGACAGTAGTTTAAAGGGCGGTGCCAGTGACGAATTGGCGGATATATTAATTTTTGAGTATTGTTGGGTTTAGATATATGAGGTTTCAAAAAAAAAAATTCTCTTCAAAATTTCAAAATTTAATATTAAATATCAAACGATATTAGAAAATTTGTTAAAATATTATTTTGTTAACCCTATATATGGGTAAAAATTCATTTTTACTGTTTCGATTCATGTACTATGGAATCGCCCAACCATATCGTATTTGGTACCAATTGAAAGCTTTATTTTTCAGAATTTAGATAAATAGAGCTTCCTGTTACTTAAAAATGTAACTGAACACTGAAATTCGGTTAGACAGAGCAGTGTGCCCTATGTAAATATGCAATTTTTCAATTTGGTGTCACCCCCTGAGATGGTGTCATCCGGCCGGTGCGATCCGCACTCCCGCACCCTCTAGCTACGCCTCTATGATAGGCTCATACGTGGCCCCTATCAATGCTACAAACAGCTCTTTGACCATTATGTCAAGTATATCAACTTAAAGCATGGGATAATTTTGAAAAAGTTTATTTATCAAGTTGCAGATAAATATAATAAAGTTTTAAAATAGTCAGTGTGTAGTGTGTGTGTGTGTGTGGGGGGGGGGGGCATTTCAAAATTATTTGGCAATAAATGTGTTACTCAGTTGTTTACAGCAGTGTTGTTTTTTAAATTTTATTTTAATCTTAGCAGTTCGCGTTCTCATTGACTTAACTCGATGAGTTATCAAACATTTATAAGTTTACCATTTTGGTCGTTTTTGTATTTTATCACATTTTTATTATTATTTAATATAGAGTGCCTGCAACAACATTCGTGTAAATAGTTTAAATTAATGTAAAAAACAAAAAGTTTATTTAATTATGAAATGAATATTAGATATTGACAAAAATATTTCCATGTAATTATATTTTTTATTTAATTTTTAAAAAATTAGGAGTAAATTTTTTTAGTTGTATGTTTTTGAACGTCTCTTTTCATTTTTTAAATGATATATTTTATTTTAAAATATTTGTTTTCTTAGTTTCAAATGGCTAAGCTACTTTTGTAAAAAGTAAAGCCAAGGATTTTATCGATTAAGTAGACAGCTTTTGTCAACACAAAAAAATACCAACAATTTTCTTGTTTCAAAGACATAATGTAAAATTTGCTCATTATTATTTGATTTATTAAATAATTAAGTATCTTATACACATCAGGATTTAGTGTTTAAATGGTAAATATTTGATTAACTTGATCAAGACATGTGAAATTGTCAAGCAACGATACACGTCCAGCCAGGCAACAACGCCATCCTCATCGAGCATCGGCATCTCGATATTTACAGTAATTATTTGTTAATACGAATCAACTTAACATTTGTTCGGTCTTGCTTTGCTTGAAAATATGTAGATTTTGAAAATTAAAAAGAAAATCCTTAGAATAGCGAAACCTCAGTCCAATGATTTGTTTCCCATGATAAAGTTTAGCTTGGACAATGAAATATTTGTCTAAACTAAAAAGGCCTGACTCAACTGACTACCCTGATGATGAAGTAAATAACAAAGCTTAGGCTTATACATTTATTCTAATGAAGACTAAACACACTTATGCTTAAATATCTTTATCCCAATAACTATATTTAATATGCCAAATGATTTCTTTCTTTTTTTAAATTTTAAACTGATACTACCCTTAAATTTAGTGCCCTGGCCCTTCATCTCCTAATTTGATTCTCAGATATATATTGATATAATATTGATTGCCTTTCTGCCTATTATTCCTAATGAGGTCTGTCAAGCTTATTTTCTATTTAGATTTTGTCAGCTTAAAATTATACTCTTATATATTGAACTAAAAAAACAACAGACCCCTCACTGATACTATTTTCCAGTCTAGAGTCTAGACTAAAAAACAGTACAGAGTGTAGGCACAGGAGTAAAGTGCCTTGCACTTGTATATGTAATCATTATCATCCACATAATTCTGGTGTTAACTCACTGAGATTAACTTGTAAAAAAATTCAGGATACTCTTGACATGTAAAACCATAAAAAAACATTTTAAGACACATTAACATTTGAAGCACGATAACTTACTACAACTATGCCAGTAAAGCTTTGTTCCCAATCAAAGATATTGCAGTATTAGTATTTAGTCACCTTATTTATGAAGAAGTATTTACTATTAGAGAAGTTTTGATAGCTTTTAAAAATGTTTCTGGTTTTGAGAAAAACCTACAAAGAAAATGTGCTGGTAAATTATGTGTGATTATCTATATTTCTATCAGCCATATCCCAATACCACTCAATGACTGACAGATCACGATAATTAAAAAAATCAAGCCCTATGAATTAGAAATTTTCCGTGGTGATTCCTCTTAAAACTCTAGGGGTACACTGACAAGGTTTTTTTTTAAATTCAGCTTTTAATTAGCCATAAATGACCAGAGTACGAAACATATGCAAAAGCTGTTGTTTGTTTCAGCAGGGTATGGTTGGTTTGTGTATTATGTCACATTTTATGTGTTTTGCACTGCAGTTCAATCTACGCTATTATCTATCCATAAGAATAAGATGGGATTCTTTTTATCTATCAATAACATTGAATTATTCTGTTGCATTTGACATCATTATTTCTTTCAACTATAAAAATAAAAACTTATCTATATCTCCATATGGATATACCAGTTGTACAGTAGGTCGGATGCATTTTATTTTAATGTTTTCCTCTGTATATTGTAAAAAGAACAAAGACCAGCAGAATCAGTGGCATAGGAATGGGGTGTGGCACTTATTTCTTTTTATGCAGGGTGACATCTTTAGCCAACAGCATAGTTTCTTTTTGGAAGGGGGCCACAAAAATCCTCACCTGCCGTGGGCTGCACTAAGCCTAGCTACGCAACTAAATAGAATACGGTACTAATTTGAATGGGGTCAGAGACATTTTTAACTACCAAGGGTGAAAACGTCTAAGAGGCAGCTTGAGTGCTAACATTAAGTGTTGCTTTTGTTTCCTGCTTAATGTGTGTAAAATTTTAAATTTGATACTTGACTATCATTATGTTTCTTTTATTTATTTCCTAAAAAAAAAATGAAAGGATAATTTTCTTTGTTAATCATATTTAAAAAAATTTAAATTATGTTGTTTTTCTTTTCATTGTAGCTATTTTACATTTTTAAAGACACCGGTACTTAATTTCATTTCATAGTAGGGGGAAGTAATATTGGCAAACGATTGCTTGCTCATTCATCTCCATGTTGTCAATATAGAAAGCAATGGGTCAAGCTTATCCCAGGCACTATAATTCTGTTTTGGGGCCAGGGAATGAAAAGTCCTGGTTAAATTGAAGGAATATGGCATGCGTTTCATCAATTCAGATGATGTAAATTACAAAAGTGAAGAGTTTTACGCAGAATAAAAAGAATAAACGTGTTACGCTTGGATCTGCTTACCAGGTGCAGGCAGCTTCAGATACAAGTTTGAGTTTTATTGTAAAAATGCATTGTCATGCCTTTCTGAGAAGGGTCTGTCACCAAACTAATAACAAGGGTGACAGGGCCTCAGACTACCCAAAACATGTTAAAAGAAATATTAACCGTTAAATTTTGTCTTGGGATGACCATCACATAGATTGATTAGACATCACACTTTTTTTACTATTGCCAGTTTTATGCTAAAAGCTCACGAGTTAGTTCTTCCCATGATCTCCATCTGCTTACACCCAACAGGAAAGCAATCGCTTCATTAGATTTTTTCCCCATTACTCTTCATTTACATCATTGTTCTTTGCTTTGATTTTTATGGCCGATAAATGACTAGATTTAAATATAACCTGAAAAAAGTATTGACATTTTTATATTGCCCTTTAAAAAAAACAACACTTGTACACATTATTTGTTGACATCAATTGACCACAGCCCCCTACACTGCCCTACACCCACCCAGTACTGAAATCAGGTATATATGTAATAATATATTAAAAGCTGTTATTGTTACAAGAAATATCAATCTATTTAAATTGAAATTTATGCATACTACAATTTTAAGCAAATCAGTAGTATCAAATTTTACTCGAAAACATTCTTAACACACTTTTTATTATTTTATTGTGAAAAATTTTTTTTTTTAATGTTAACCGAGATAATCATATTGTTACAATATTTATTTTTTGCAAAAGGTTTTTTACTACCGGTAGCCGGTATATCAAAATACATTAAAATACAAAAAAATGTATTTTAAGAGTTAAAAATGTTTTTGTAATGTTACAAACTTAAAATTTCATTATTAGAATATCAAGGTTCTAACTTGGGTCTATCAAAAGACAGGAAGACTGTTGCTAGCTCAATGTAAGAATGTATTAGTCATATATTCATCACTCTTTTTTTCTCTTTTCAGAGGATATCCTTGGCAGTGCTGATAATTTGTTAAACTTATAGCTATGAACCAAACGCCTTGGAAGCTTTCCCATTCAACTGTACTTAAAACATCCTAATATATAGCCTCTGTTGAGCCTTATCTACTTCATACAATCAACAATGTGATAGATGTACAAGTCATATTTATCTCATCTTATTTTGACCACCTCCAGCTGAACAAGTTTAGTAGAATATTTGCGATAAAAACGATAAAAATCGCCAAAAGTAAAATCAGTCTCCTGTAAATTGATACTACACACATTTGCAACACGGCTTTCTTTTTACCTGTCTGCCGGTAACGGCTCTTGCCAAAAAATGGCAGCACTAGAGTGCAATAATGGACAAGATGGATTCTCTCCAACAGAAAATGGAGATGCTCTGCCTGAGGAGAAGTCACTCAGCATTGACTATTCTGAAGATTTATGGCTGGCCAATAGTGAAGACTCATCAGGGCCATATGCACAACAGCCAAGTAAAGTTGTGTCACATGAACAGACTAATACTCACTCTGTTCAGCCAGAAACTAGAGAAAATTTCCCTAATGCCCCTCCAGGGCACCAAACTGTGATGGAATCCCATTCTCACACCAATATGAATAATGTTGAATATTCTGAGCGCCACTCTGCGAATACTCAAGGTCAGACATGGACTGATGCCATGCCGGACGATGACGCAGAAGAGACAGCTCTCCAGCCAGCAACCACCTACATTAACGGCACAGCAGAGCACAATGGTATGGATTTCAGCAGCAGTGGTGATGAGAAGGACTTTGCCCAACTCGTCCCTGCGGGCAGCTATGTGGAGGGAGGGGCCGTTGTGGGGGTCGAGAATCAGGATAAAACCTTCACGTCTTTAATGCCAGCGGCTGCACTCGGGGTCAATGGTGAGATCCAGCAGGGCTTCACTACAATGCTCAATGCCAATCAAGATGGAATGGTCTATTACGCCCCTAGTGAGCAGATGGCCAATGATGCATCTAGTCCAATGGCCAACCAAGAGAATAGTTCTGTGTCTTATGAGCAGTCAGGACAGATGGCAGCAGGTAAAGAAGATGAGGTGGTTGAAGGAGATGAAGGAGGAGGGGGTATGTATGTTTCAATGGACAATCTTAAACTTGAAAATCAGACAGCCACGGGTAATTTTGCAGTTCTGTCCCCTGCGATGATGAACATGACAAATGTCAACCCTGAGGATGCATCGTACTCACAGTGCGTCACAGGAAGTGCATACCACAACATCTCCACTCTTCCATTTGTTCAAAATGGTGCCTATACGACACAGTCATCCTTTTCTCCATACCATCAGAGCACCACCACAACCATAGTCAGTGGTGTTGATGAAAGCCAGCAGCAGCATCAACATGTTCTCCAGCAGTCCGACTACAGCTCGGACCAGACAAGCTTTGGTTCTGAGCCCAATGCATTAACTGCATCACTCCAGCAAAGTGGTGTGGAATATGCTGAGGATGTTGAAGAAGAACAGGATGAAGATGGGGACCAGGACATTGAAGAAAATTCTATAGAGTATTCAGAGTTTTCCTGTCCTGTGTGCAGCGAAGGCTTCCCTGATCAGGCCACGCTTGATGACCATGTCAACAACCATCCTCCCTTGAAAAATTTTGTTTGTGAAACCTGCGGGAAAGGCTTTGCGACTAGGCGTTACCTCAAATATCATAGAAAAAACCACTGTAAGAGGGCTGGATCTTATGAAGGAAGAAATGAAATGGATGAAAATGATCCTAATGGTGAGGTTAAAAGGTTCGCATGTAATGTGTGCAGCAGGCCCTTTCGTGTTTTAAAGTGCATGAAAGTCCACAAAAAGAAGAAGCATGGCATCTTGAAAGAGTACACTTGTCAGAACTGTGCCATCACCTACAGCACTTCACAGGAGCTTATTGACCATGCGTGTGAACCTAAGAGTGCCCCAAGCACACCTCAGATCATCCAGTATACGCCCCCTCCCCTTGCTCTACCTGCTCAAAAGAAGAAGAGGAAGCTGAAGCAAGCCAAGCCTGCTTGTGACATATGTGGGAAAACTTTCTCAGATCGTATAAGTGTGGACATTCATCGTGTGAAGCACATTGAGGAGGAACTGTACCCATGTGACATGTGCGGGGAGGAGGATGGGGGGGACCCAAATCATCTTGCTGTGCATTTTCGTATCAGGTTTTTCACAGATGACAACCAGCATATTCTAGAAGATCAAAAAGCGGCAGTCGCCACCCAAGATACGACCAGATCTGACGATGGGAGCAGCGTGTCTGCCACACCTGTCCACAACCCTGACACACCTCACCCGGGTTCATCGACTCCACAGTCTGCTCCAGCCACTCCCATTTATATTCCTGCCACACCTATACATGCCCCGGGGACACCCGTGTCTGCTAGCTCACAGGATGGTCAAATGCTGGAGACAGCAGAACATTCTGGCTATTCTCATAAGTACACAGAGTATACCGTTGGTCAGGGTGGTCAGACAGTTCATGTAGGGAACTATATTGTGAACCAAGGGGAGACTATATTAGTGACGGATCAGTCTTTACTCTCTAACCAACAGCAACAACTGGAAATGGCTCAGCACCACCAACAGCAGCAGCATATTTTTAGCTCTCAGTTTGAAGGAGAGATAATCCATGATGCCAGTGGATCTGTGATGGCTGTGACACCCAAGAAGAAGAAATGGAAGCGTTCGAAAATTCACATGTGTGATATCTGCAACAAATCATTTGGTGATACAGCTAAGCTGGAGCTGCACTACAAGAGCAACCACCTCCATGACCGCCCTTACCAGTGTGATGTGTGTGAAAAATCTTTCTTCACCAAGTGGAAGCTCCAACGCCATATGTTGAGCCACTTGGAACAGAAGCCCCACTCTTGCCCAATGTGTTCCAAGTCATTTGTAGAACGGGGGAAGTTGGAGGCCCACTACAGGACCCACCTCGGCACCAAACCATACAAGTGTGATCAGTGTCCCAAAGCGTTCACTGTGAAGTCTCAACTGTCTATCCACCAACGGCGTATTCACAGTACAGATCAGCCTTTCGGATGCCTGGTGTGTGGGAAGGCTTTCTTATGGAAGAGTGGACTAGACAAGCACATGCGGAAACATACAAGAGAGAAACCGTTTATATGTGAGACGTGCGGGATGAAATACTCCAACAAAGCAAATTTAATTGTGCACATGTCCAAAGCCCATAACCAAACGTACGTAGACAAACCTGGACAGTAGCCACGCTGTTTAATAACTCTGGAATGATCCAACTTTAGCTGTGAGTTTGTTTTGAGGTGCAGATGTCCTGGATCATTTGGGCAGCATCACTCAGCGATTTCACAGCCTGCTCATGCCAGCAGCAGCTGAAACTCCGGTGCCTTCATGTGGTGGATGGGGAGAAGTCAAAGTGCTGTTTAAAAAAAAGAAAAACAGCAGCACAAAATCAAGTGGACCCCCTCTACCACTTGGTGGTGCTTTAAAAGCACGGTGCAGCAGGGGGATGTGGCTAAATGAAATTTCCACCAGTTGGTGTCTGCAACTGCCTGGTTCCAATGAGTGAGGCCTACAAACAAGCAACACTTGAGTCTTGAAAATTATCAAAAGATGTGATGTACACAAAAAAAAAAGAGAGAGATAATATAACAGAGTGGCATTTCCAGCTATTGTTAACTGTTGATGAGCACTATAAAAAAATGTCAAAGCAGATGCACTTCACAAGGAGTTCATCACAGAGGTACTAAATCTGGTTCAGGAGGTCACCCTTCATTGTAACACTTTTAATTTGGGTTATGGTTTGTTTATCAGATGTGGATGATATGCTGATGTGGATATGTTTCTAGTTCACACAGTTCTAGGAATACTTTCAACAACAGTGATGACTTCTAGTGCTGTTTCCAGCGTATCCTTAACACTGACAGTCTCCGAGTGTGTACCATCCACGACCAATCAGTTTGAGCAAGCCATGAAGTTAATGTCTCGGTAGTCTTTTCTGGAGTTAGATATATAATGAAATTGTAAAATTTGTTGAGAGTTAATACTTAAAAATAATCTTTTATCTCATATTTAAAATAGGTTTAATTTCATCTCTTTTGCTCAAAACCCTATATTATTTAGGGGATGCAGAAAATTAATATGCAGTGGACATTAATAGTTGAATAAGATCCTACAGACAGGACATAATTGATAAGCCTTTTCTAACCATTTATGATTACACATTTTAAGCATGGATTATTTCAGGCTACAAAATACAATCCAATTAATCTGAAATCTTTAAAATGTAATTGTACCATTTTCAAAATAACTTTATAATGCATTTACTTCATTGTGTCCATAGCACTGAGGTAAAAAGGAGGAGTTAATTTTCACTTTTAAACAGTAAGGGTGACTAGCATCTCTACATTGGTTAATTTATATTGGTCTGGATGGAAATCAATCCTTTTTATGATAGTCACTGTAAACTGTCAGCTCAAATTTGGTCTCAAGGTTTTACACCTAGTCACAGCGAGCTGATTAAGTGTATAGATTATGATTAAGTGCTTCTAATAGTTGTAGCATGCATAGGTTGGTAAAGACTGATCAGAAGCTTGAAATGTTCTAAAATGAATTAGGCCCTAACAATTATTTATATATTTTTTAATGCCGTTTCCAAAAGTTAGAAGTTACATTGTGTCCCTCCTTTTGGTAAAATGTAGTGGAAGTCGGGTCCATTAGGCAAGAACCAAATGTCTTCGATTGCTTGAATTCTAGAAGGGTGTTTCAAGAACGATTAATAAGCACAAATTACTATGACCGATTTAATTTAATACTGTTTTAAAATTATTTTTTTATCCAAGTTATCATTTGCTGGCCTCACACAGATTTATAATTTTTTTTACTGTCCCTTTACTATTAGAAAAATTAATGCGTTTAGTAACAATTATTGTTTTTATAGTGTTTATTTGGAAACAGAAAGGACTGCAATCCAAGTTGGTTCTTATACAATCCTCTCCAAAATTTTCACATCACATATCTATAATTTTCTTTGGTAAAGGAAGGTGCCTGCTAGCTGATAAATGTTTCATTACTGCAAAGTGATAGGACTTACTACCCCAACTGTCTTGCAAATGTTACTGGCTACGTCCATCTGTAAAAACACTGCCGAAACACATTTGTTTGTCTATGAAGTCCTCACATCAACTGGTTTGATTGTTAACAACAGTCAACAATTGACAAGGTCCAGTGTGGATATATATGTACATATAGAAATAAAGTATAACTTTTACCCAGTACATGAAGGCTCGCATCACACACTGAATGCATCTTAAGGATATTTTAACTAAACTGGTGTTATCTTAAATTTTAAAGCTGCCATTGCATGTTTTTTTTTAAAAAGGATTTTTAGAAGTAAATCTGCCTTTGAGGAAGATAACAATGGTAGCACCGTGATATTTTTAAAAGCGTATACTGCTAACAAAGTTGCTTGATTTTCAAGTTATTCCAATGAAGGCAAAATATGAAAAGCATATAAACTAAGGACCATTGGGCCAAAATGGGTGTTGCATTTATGCCTTAAAGGTAGTTAAGTATTGTTATTTAACATGAGTTAAAAACAGGCATCCAGTGAGTAGAAGAAAGTCTGTAGGGGAGGATGAGATGCATATATTAATCTTCTTCAATATAGGCAACTGGATTGCAGTAAAACAAAATAGCTGCATGCCCTATCCATGTATATTTTAAAGAATCAAACATCTAGTCTTCAATGCTGATGGGTAATCCAAGCAAGACTTTAACATAGCATTCATCTGTATTGTTAAAATTAGGGTTCTTAACTGTCTTCATATGCACTCTCAAAGCTACCTGAGACTGAGAGAGATTTATGAGCTATAACCCTCATTGTTATGTTGATAATTTTAAATTTAAGATGATTTTATTTCTCCTCTATCCTAAATAAGTATTTAAAAAATGCATGCGCTGAATGTTTCAAGAAGAAATATTTTTTAAATTGTACAAATATCCTGTTGGGTATTATTGAGCTGAAATTTTAATTGTGATGAGTTGAAGTCATAGTCTTGTGTGCAAATGCCCTGAGTACTATTTTGTGCTCCCCAAACATTTTGTGCTCATTGCTATTGTTGATCAGAGGTGCAGATAGGTCTCCAGGTCTGATTGAAACATTTTAAAAAATATCAGTAAATGTTAGCTCAAGTGGTATTACTCATCATTTACATTTGAGTTACCTAGTACAGAAAAACCACCCCTGTGTGTGATTTCATTTTTGACGTTTTGAAATATTCCCCACCTACACAGCCTTGGTGTCCAGCACAATGTACTGGGATGTTATAATTCTGCTGTGTCCCCTGACAATTTATTTTAAATAGAAACTATGTGTCTGGTTAAATTCTGATGTTTTTTCTATTTGATTGCTCGATTAAGCGATAGGTAAAAAAAACAAAACAATAAATGTTAAATATATATATACATTTAATTTTACTATTTAAATATTTAGCAAAAAAAATTTTTTTTGTTTATGATAGAATATGTACAAATTATTTTTGAAAGTTCATTTTCATAATGTACCTCTCAATTAAAAATAATTAATTATTATTATTACTTGTGTGATTTATTTTGGTTGAAATTACCGGTATTATAAGGTTTTGAGCTTGTGCAAAGCATACTGTTTGTGAAACAGTTGTAAATATTGTATTATTATTGGTATTATATAATTATTGTTAATCTTATTTAATCTTCATGTAATCTAATGCATTATCTCTCAAGTAAATTGTTCATTGAAGGTAATTTTCATCTTTTCATTATTAATTTTTTGTTGTTGTTGTTAAAAACTATTTTGACCATGAACAAATATTGTTATATGAAACAAATTATTGTGATGTAGGTCCTTGTCTGTATTCTTTCTGCACTGCCATAGGGTGCTGTTTTAATGTAAACATTTATATAACTTGCAGTCTGCTCAAAGACTAAATTAAATATTCTACTCATATCAGATGATTGAAATATGCCATGTCCTCAAATATTGTTTTGAGTATGTCAACTGTTGATGCGATCCATCATGTGAACACAACAGTATCTTGAAGTTTTTAAATTGCCAACCGAATCAGTTGAGTTTGCAGTCGATCGGCTGTTTCTAATGTATTAAATGATCCATTTTGTTGTTGTAAGGTGCTTGATTAAAGCAAAGAATTTAGCTATTAGTCTGTGTGTTAAAACTTTTGTTTTATAATCATTGTGTAGGTTTATAAACAATTTAAATGTTAATTAAAATCTGTAATCTTTAACCATCTGCAACATTCATTACCAGGTAGTAAGGTCTACATAAAATATTTTTAATCCATACTTATACAGCTTTAGTTACAAGCTTGGAAAACATTTTTTTTTTCACTAAAGGTTAACAGAATTTATTTATTGCTCATTACATTCTAATCTTAATTTTTAAAAAATAAAGAGTAATTTTTTAAAAATTGTTTTGGGAAACTGTTGAACTACTGCATGCTTTAAAAATAAAAGTCAAGAAACCATTTTTGGGACATAACATTGTGGAAGAGCTGAATGATTGAGGCTAATGCTAATCTCAAGTATCTAGTATAAATATGAGATCACAGCTTTGTTGGAAAAACTATTATCTAAGAACTTTTTTAAAAATTTAGTTTAAATTAATTTAACCTCTTCAATGCAGAAGACAGAACTCAGAGGAATCTTGAGTATGTTTTGAATGTTTAGTAAAACTACATGGCAACTCAAAGATTATGATTGTATCATATAAACATTTAATTGTTGGTTAATGTCTTTAAGTTTATTAATGATGTCCATCATTGTGTATAACACATGTTTTATTATATGCTGTTTACAAAATGTTCAATTTTTCATAGACGTCGTCATACAAAAGTGCAATATGATCTCTTATGAATATCTTTATTGCTTGCTACCTAGTAACTGTACACACTTAACAAACAACCGAGTACTTCTACGAGTAAAATGAATGATCATCAAGTTATTGTCAAATATCATTTTGTATAAGCTGTTGTCGGGACTGTCTGAGTCAAATTGTCTTTAAATCTTTTCTACTTTGCTGATGTTCCTTCCTGCCTTCTACATTTACTTTTCTCTGCATTCATTCTCTCTTTCTCTCTGTGTCTTATTTAAAAGAAAAAAAAATCTGTCAAACTCATGAAATGCCATGATAAGGTTACATGCTCGCTTATTGGGTAGCCATTTTTTAGATATTTTTTTTTGTGTCATCAACTTTGTTCATGCTAAAATCATTCACCCTTAAGTACCTATATCTTCCTGAATTGAATTTTGGTTTCAGTCAGGAGATAGTTTAGAAGCCAACATTTATTCATTAGTTATTTTATTAGAAAATGAACAAACAAATTTAAATCCTCTTTTTCTGCTCCTGAGAAAAGTAGATGATTGAAGACAAAGCTTTGTGCCTCCAGGTGATATAAATTTGTTAATGAAAGCATGTTCCAGCTGATGAAGTTTTTGCCTGACCTCATTAGTTTTGCTGATACTAGTTAGAGATGCATGATGGTGTCTCAGCGTGGCAGTGGCCTAGTTCACTAGAGCACAAACAATGGTCTGGTATGTCAGAAATAGTGTGTAAAATTAAGTGTTTTGTGGCAAGTCAGATCAAGCTTTTTCTTACCTTGGCTCAAAACGTTATAATTATTAAAGTTTGTTTGTCAGTAGTTGCTGCACAATGTCAGAGTCGGGTCAGTAAATAAATACAATTAGTGATATTTAAAGTAAAAAAATGTTTTAATGATTTTATTTGAATAATTTTTAACTTGAATTTTTATTTTAAATGTCTAATTTATTCGAGCTCCTGTTAACCATTATAGGTTGACTAATTTCATGAGTTGGCAGCTCTGGTGCTAACATTAAGTTGTGAAATCATTCTTGTGTTAGGTTATGCCTGTCTTGTATTAGGTTATGCCTGTCTCGTGTTAGTTTAAGCCTGTCTTGTATTTGTTATGCCTGTCTTGTGTTGGATATGCCTCTCTTGTGTTAGGTTATGCTTGTCTTGTGTTAGGTTAGGTTATGCCTGTCTTGTGTTAGGTTATGCCTGTCTTAAGTTTTCCCATCTTGTGTTAGGTTATGCCTTACTTGTATTAGGTTATGCCTGTCTTGTGTTAGGTTATGCCTGTCTTAAGTTTTCCCATCTTGTGTTAGGTTATGCCTTACTTGTATTAGGTTATGCCTGTCTTTTGTTAGGTTATGCCTGTCTTGTGTTAGGTTATGCCTGTCTTGTGTTGGGTTATGCCTGTCTTATGTTAGGTAATGCCTGCCTTTTACATTCTTCATTTGAAATTCATGGCATTTTTTTTTTATCACTGTAGAACAAATAGTAATTTCATTTTTTAATCTTTCCTCCATTCAATCTGATTCTGTTACCAACACTGACCAAGTATTTTATGATCTTTTCTACTTCATGGATACAACTAGTTACCTAAGCTTAATTTTAAAATTTTCATAAGTAAAAAACAAAAAAAAAACATCAACACCCCAATGCAAATGAGGAGATTCACTGCTGAAATTCAAATGCCTCTGCTGCTCTATTTATTTTAGAGCTAATCGTTTACAAACTGCAGCTTTTTGGTAAATAAAAATATAAATTTTTTAATCAGTTATGAATTTTGACACTTTTGGCTCTAAGAATGTACTGGATTAGATTAAAACTCATAAGTACCATTTAAACGTCAGTACTAGAATAACAATTTGCATTTACAGACACTATATATTAAGGACCCACAATCAATGTATTGATCATTCTAACTCCTATGTATGTAGAGAGGATTTGCAATGTTTTGTGCCTGGCATTGAAGAGGATATTTCATTGGTTGCAAAGGTTACACAGTGTTGGTATCTCTAAATTTGTCTTGTAGCGCTTTGAAGGGAAGCGCTCCAAGAGAATTTTTTTTACCTGTGATAAGCAGTGAAAATGTTATGTCAATGCTTGATCCCAATAGAGTAGACGTTATTTCTTTCAGAGATTTGTAATCATCAATAATGTGAGAAAGAGAGAAAAAACGCATAATACATTACAGGAAGTTGTGTTACGATGTGCATTTTCAAAGATCAAATGCTTTAAATAAAACCTGTTGGTTTGGGAATCACTGTGCATTGAAAACATGAATATTTAATTAGGAAATACTGAAACTATAAGCTGTTGATAAATGAAATTCAGGTATGACTTGGTATGGTAGTAGTATTATGTTAACTTTGAGCCACAAACAATTTATTTTCAAGACATTGTCCTTTTAATTTATTATATTTTTAAAATTTACTCTTGATCTGTGAATGTACAGTATGTCGTTATGTCAGAAATTATATTCATCGTCAGGTATTCACATTGCATTTTTAAAAAAAAAATAGCCCCTATGTGAAACATCAATGCGTGGAAAGGAGGACTGGCTTGCTTTTAGGGCTTTTTTTCTCCATTAGAATTTAGTAAATGTCAAAAAGAGAAAAGCAACAGTTTGTAAAAAGTATGTAGAATTGTTGTTGGAATAAAGGATTTACCTCTAGCCCAGTCTCCACTTTTGAAAGTATTTTGTCTTTTAAACAGTTGTTTGCTAATGCTAAGAAATGTAAATTATAGCCCTTTACATTTTTTTAATCGCCACCCAGAGTATTGCCGTTTGTTTCACTTATCAGAATTCTGCATTGTACATGTTTCTCAGAAATCTGGTACTAAACATGTGTCCTATGGTTTAAACGCTTGCACTCTTATCTTTTAATTCTGCTAAAACATCCAAGTCCACATAACTATCTGTGTTCTAGAATTTCATGGTAGTATAGACATGGCACTGGAAACCATGCTTGAGACTCCCTTTGAAACTAAAGATGGGGAAATACTCAAACCCTGACCATGTAAAACAAAAAATCCGATGTAAGTGCTTGAATCTCCATCTTGCCAGAAATTACCCCATCCATCATGTCAAGATCACATCCTCTTCCTATTTATAAAGTGATTTTCATCATGATTGATTGTACATTTACTTTTTGAAACATTTCATATTCTCCAAACATTAAAAAAAAAAATATGGCATAGTTGTATGGATCAAATTTTTATTGTGTACCAGTACTTTTCAAATCCTGTTTTTATGTTGTTTTACAATTACATTTTACAATTACAACCATTTTTTGGTCTTGTTTGTTCAAAACAAATGGTCTCAAATTAGTAATCTTTCAAAATTAGTGCATAAGAGAAGAATTAAAGTGGAAGAGATCAGATGTCCCCAAGTTATTTATTTATTTATATGTTTAAGTTACTGGATACAAAGTTTCTGCTAAGGTATAGATCTCAACCGGATAGCAATAGACGTGGAATGTTTGGTTGTAACAGAACTGGACAGGATAGATGTAGTAGAAATATACTTTATCCCATTTTTAAAAAAAAATTGTTAAGAATTAACATATTTTTAAAACATGAAAAACTGAGTCTTATGAGTAGAGTAGGAAAGAAATAAAAGGGAAAAAAATAATAAGACTCCAATTTTAATAGTCTATAATGAAAGCCACTATTTTAAATGTTTAAAGAGTTCATGCTGATGAAAATGGATAGTCACTTTTAAAGTTGAACTATCAAATAAAAATATACATGCCAATTTTACAAAGACTCTGGCTCCAGGGGAGACATTTCTGATTAGTTTTAACAAAATATTGCAGACTGCTTTATACTTTATAAAATATAAACAAATTAGACCCTGCACAGGATTGGAAACCTCTTACCTTTTTTCATTGGTTGTGTCAAATTTGTCAAGTTCATTCTGACTCTATTTTGTTTTGTTCTTTATATTTGTTTTTATATATATATATATATATATATATGTATCATTATTATTACTTCTGCTGTAGCTTGCTACACTGTCGTCATTATGTCCTTGTCATTTCTACCTAGATAGTCATGATTTTAAACAACAAAAAAAAACAAATAAAAAAATGTATAAATATTATATGAACAAACATGGGTTATATTTTGTCCCTCTGATATTGCATGCATGTGCTTTGCAAATTTAAAAAAAATATATATAATTGACTTATTTATAGAACTAAATGAAACCATTAAAAAAAACAACAGGACATGTATCCAAGTATGATTCAATCAACTGATTTGAAGAGATCACGGAGCTTAGGAGTTTACCTTATTTTCAGGACATACAAATCTCATGTCATGCAGGAGTTTTAGTTGAGAAGAGAAAAAAAAATTGAAATAGAAAGCAACTGTTATATGTGTCCTGTGGTAGATAACTATTTCGATGAATCAATCTGTAAGGGCCTTTCAGGTTTGATAACTGAAGTTTCTGTCATTTCTTATGATTTAAAATAATTTTAACAAAAACAAAGGCCTGGTTCAGCTGGGGGTCGAACCCAGGACCTCTCGCGTGTGAGGCGAGCGTGATAACCACTACACTACTGAACCGGACGATCTGAATGTGTAACTATTTATTTTTAAAAAATAGATAATCAAGTTCTAAATTTTTTGTCACCTGGAGTTATTGAAAAAAAATAACATGATGTTGAAAACTTTTAATTAAAAGCAAATATATTTCAAATATTTTTGTATTTCTATGAAAAGATAGTAATAATATATTATTTTTTTATTAAAACTTAAAAGATACAATTTTGATAGTCACAAGGAGGATAACTCTGGTAACATTGATTATGCCACTTTCGATTTTGCCAGCCATCAATGTACCGAGATTCATATTCATGATTGTCACATTTGCAGTAATGTAGTCTACATCCTTATTCCATACGATAATAACGCTGCTATGATGAATGTTGTAAGTTTAACATTTTAGAGAACTGAAAAGTGCTCGAGTCGAACAATGTCAAGTAAGAAATTTTAATTTAAAAACATTACTTACTAATTAACTAAACTAGTACTAGCCCTTGCTGCTGCTTGCTTGCCTGCTGCTACACATAATGATAATAAAATGTTAATCATATTTGCAATTTTTAGGCAATAACTAAAGCAGCACAATTCTTTTTTAATTGTAGGGATTTTATGAAAAACTAATGCTACACTTAGCAAAAAGACTAGATCTATAGAAGTGAAAGATTCCCCCATGCAAGAAAAACTCCTACTGCCTACTGACTATGACTATATTTAAAGTATAACCTACATTATTTTACATTTAATATCAGATATTGATTTGCTATCGGAGATATAAAATAAATTAAATTTTTTAATGGACACATTGGTTCACCTTTCCATATGCTACTTATTATTTTTCCCCTTTTCAATATGAACAATTTGATATACATGACCCTATATTTTGAAGAATATTATTCACGTTGTGAATGTGTTCATATTCAAATATGACATATGGAAATTTTGCGGCCATTTTGAATATTAATGAGCTCATCTTGCGTACCGTAGAATTTATTATGTGACATATGTTTGGACAATGTTACGACGATCACGGATATATATGGTCCATTAATGGTTTGTTATGTTTATCTTCATTAATTCATTAAATAACTTCAACTTCAATTTACTACTCTTTTTTAACATCTCTCCCAACTCTCTGCCCAATTTTTATTTTAGTCACTTTCATATTTTCCTATATGTCTCAATTAACAGAGTTATCCCAAAATAATTCACGAAAAAAATCATAACTTTCTTTAGAATTGACCTACAAACATAAATATGGTATCAATGAATTGCAATTTTCAGGCCCTAATCTAATCAACTAGCTCTTAAAGCCATAACTTCATTTTGAAAATTTTACCCAAGTTCTTACTATACTGTCTTTAATTATTATTAAACTATTAATTTATTTTAAGGCTGAGCCTTAGCCTTAAAATAAATTAATAGTTTAATAATATTATAGCAGCAAGTGTCAGTAGTGTAGGCCTAACTAATCTAATCTAATAGTAATAAACTTAATAAATTAATAATTATAAGGCTAATACTAGTGTTAAGGACGGCTGCCACGGCGTCTTTTGTGTGCTTATTATAGTTGCAGTGAATTAGGGTTTAGGTTAGGTTGAGGGATCGATTTAGGGTTCAGGTTAGGCATAGGGATTGATTTAGGGCATTAGTCATGGCCATCGATAAAATAGTGGCATTCGTCCTTTACATTTACCAATTATAATACTACTAGTACAGTACAGAATGCATTAAAGTTATAGGATAAAGTAACTACTGAAAATCTTGAATGTGTATATTATAATATAGTTATATGTATGGCAAAGGTGCACTCCATGCATAGCCCTACTAGCCTTATTATTATAGTAGTCACTCACAGAGTCACACTGTGTTCCCAGAAATAAAAAGGAAACTCTGTTGGCAATTGTTGTTGGTAATAGGTCTCTCCATCACAAAGTAGTATCCTTATTTGACCTGTATTTTTATTTGTCATATGTTAATGGGCGTGAATAGCAGGGACGTGCTGGCCCACGACGACGCGACGAGCATTCGTCACGAGCCATGGGCCTTTTTGGGCAGTTACTACAGTTATTACAATCTCCGGTGTGCAGGGCGGCCTCCGGGCCTTTCTTACTACACCGTTCGTCATGGGTTTCCATGTGCCAGCACGTCCCTGGTGAATGGTGACTGAGTTTGAAAAAGTTGCAGAGCAATTTTGAATTTTTTTTTTTTTTTTTAAAGCACCAAGTCACACAGTTTTGCAGTGTATTGTTACAAACTTAATTTGGCTATGAATTGGAAAGGTACTCTGTCAGACTATACATTCCTAAAATATTTGAATCCCCTTTTCCATGTGCCAGCACGTCCCTGGTGAATGGTGACTGAGTTTGAAAAAGTTGCAGAGCAATTTTGAATTTTTTTTTTTTTTTTTTAAAAGCACCAAGTCACACAGTTTTGCAGTGTATTGTTACAAACTTAATTTGGCTATGAATTGGAAAGGTACTCTGTCAGACTATACATTCCTAAAATATTTGAATCCCCATACACAATGGGCATACAATTTCCACATTACTGAATTAATGTCCTTAAACAATAGGTGAAATGGTTTTTTGCTTATATTTAATTTAAGAATGTTCATCTTTGACTTTAGAGGGCAAATGCTGCACCTGCTAGAGAGCATGTGTGTGATTCTCTATTATATTATTAAAACAGTTCTGATCAACCACAGTTCCGTTTTATGTACACTTCAAGAACGGAAAAATTTTGTAACAAGAGATGATATAACTGTTGCCAACAATAATTTGTGCCATCTCACTAAATCTATCTTGGCTTGGCATTGTTCTGCCAACTTTTAAATTTTAAATTGGTCCCCATTCACAACTTACTTATGAGCGAATATAATAGTCGTCAACCATGAAAACATTTTCCTCTGTCGAGAGACCCATTTCTAACTGCAACTGTCAAACATACTTTCATTAAGACTACTGTAAACACCTCCGACCGGACATATGCACCATTTACAAACCCACATATTCATTCAAGATGTGGGAGTTTCAGTACAGTTACTTTTGGTGCTCAGTACTGATACTTTTGGTGCATATTGTATATAGGCCTAGTTATTAATAATATTTTTATCATTAGGCCTACGCTTTTCTACGGTCTACGATATATTGCTGATGATTTTGTTTTAGTAATTATAATTTTATAAAAACCTATACTAAATAAAATTAATAGTATTAATACCATGCCATTAGGGATTAGAAAGAGCTGATCACTGTCCTCTTATCATTTGCTCTCTATAGGCTACTTAGTAGACCTATTTATTTATTTTAGAATGCCTTGGCATTGCCATTGGGCTTATTCTTATGTTAGTCTTTAGGTTAGTCCCTAACTTATTTATTTAGGCCCTATCTGGCAACTGACAAGGGGTGAGGAGTAGGATTAAAATAATTGAACAGCCTGTTCACCACCCTAAAGACTGTTATAAGTAGAGGACAGTTTAACCTCGGCATGGCCAGGACTATCATTATTACCTACTAATACTATTAGACATAGATATTCGTTGATCAAGTCATAAAGTGTCAGTAATTAGTAAAGCCACTGGTCACTGGAGTCTAAAGCAACTGTGGTAATTTTAGTAGACTTATATAAGCCTAAGTATAACATAACCCTTAATACCTGTAAATATTAAAAGTGATTTTGTCGGTTTCAGTTCTTTAATTTGTAAACTTGTGGCATAAATCATTAATCATAAATTGTTTCTAATTTCAGAATTTTTAATTATAAATTGATACTAATTTCAGAATTTAAGTTGGCAATGGTACAAATGGCTGTTGGCTTGTCCAAGCCAGAAAACTTAGCTCGTGCCACAAAGTTTATTCAAGAAGCTTCAAGTGCTGGAGCAAAAGTTATCACATTGCCAGTAAGACTTCATTTAACAATTGATCTCTTTGTCAACATTTAACCATTATTTTATGATGAATAATTTATTACTCTTATCACTGGCAAAAGAACATGTTTCGGGGTTAGAATATCAGCAAGTAATTCAACTCACATAAATATTTAATTGGAGCAGATTTGAGGATAATTGCTGTGATTTCTTCTTCTATAGATGCCATATGCACTGTATGCACCATTTGCTCTATGTATCATGCACCCTGTGGTATGCCGACAATCGAGCAACAACTGGTTTGGCACTTGTCGTTGAATCCTTTGCTTTTGCTGGCAGATGCTATGCATTCTATTTCTGCACCCTGACAGCATTATAATAATTATAGAGAGATTGAAAACTTCAATTTTAAGTTTATAAATTATTTAATTAGTAAAGTTTTCTAGTTATTTGAATTGTGGACTTATTTTAAATAATTTTTAATATTATTAATTTTTTAACAACAGTTAAGGCAGAATTGTAAAAATGTAACAACCAGTTGTAGCAGACCGTGCCAGCTACAGCACACCTCTCCATGCACCTATCTTAATGGCTTAGCTGTAATTTTTGCTATGGGGGTGGGGGGGGATCAGGGTACAACCCAAGGCACTCAACTAATTAACTAATCCATTGGTAATTTAATTTCTTAATGGGACTGCATCGCTGGTTGTCACCTGACATAGACCTCAACCCATGTGGTAATCCTCTTTTCTATCTAGGAACACAACTTTACACTTGATAAAATCTTACCAGAATTGTAAAGTTAAATGCATTGCATTTAGTTCAAATTCGGGTAGAATGATTATTACAAAAAAAAAAAAAAAAAAAAAAACTTGCTGATGCCTAAATTACAAGTTATGATATCTAGGGTGAATTAGAGTCTAGGAGGTTCAATTATCGTATACAGGTATGTTATTCAAAGCTGATTTATTCCAAACCTGTTACACCCTGTTCAGTTGTTTAAATTCCTTGAACAATTGAATAATTTTTCTGGTATTTGGACATCTAGGAATGCTTCAATTCTCCTTATGGGACAAACTATTTTGCTGAATATGCTGAGTCAATTCCTGGTGGTCCTTCAACAGAAGCTCTTGCTAAAGCAGCAAAAGAAAACTCTGTGTATGTTGTTGGAGGTAACCGTCACATATTATATCTGTCATATCGTGTCTAGTTGACAATTTAAAGTTTTGTTGGATGCTTTGCTAACACAATAATTTAAATTACCCCAAGGCTAATCAGCAGGCGATGGTGGTAGATGTTTTAAAGCAAAAGCCGGGCTATACTTTTCTATATTAATTCAACAATATATTATGTGATAAAACTTGTTTTGTGATAGTGAATCTGCATTTTTATTAACTATATTAGCATTTTATTTGTAGGTAATTTATTGTTAATTAAATTATTTTATTTATTGTAGTATGTACAATAACATGTTCATTAAAATTTTTTTAAAAAGTACTGGTAATTAAAAAAATAGGCTTAAGTAAGTTATTTGATATCCATCTTTTATTATTTTTCTGATTGAATGAGATATGCTTTCTTTGTATGGCACACTATGCATTTATATTGTGTGACTGCAGGCTCAATACCAGAAAGACAAGGTGATAAGCTCTACAACACCTGCACCATTTTCAACCCCAAGGGTGAACTCATCACTAAACACAGAAAGGTAAAGACATGTTACATTTTGTATTCATTGGTCAAATCATCACTCACTAGCTGGATTCTTTTTTTTTTTTTTAAAGATATCATTACAATGAATGAACACATTTAAGATTTCACTTTGACTGACTTATTGAACAAACAAAGTTGTCTGCCTTCTTTGGAGTCTTCTACAAATACACGGTATAAAAAAATTGTACAGTTTTTAAAACACAGATGTTTGTGGTTTTTTTTCCCTTCATTTTTGATGTGGAAAAAAAATGTAAAGATTAACAAAAGATATAGCAAAAACAAAAAGTTTGATGCAGCTTTAGTGAAGACGTACTGAAAGGATGCAGCTTAGTGAAGAAGTACTTAAAAGATGCAGCATTAGTGAAAAAGTACTTAAAACTCAAATGGATGTTTTAGCTGAAGTGTTTTTTTTTCAGCAGGCAAAACATGAATATCAAACATATTCAGCTGTTAAGTTTGTGCCTTTTCATCTTCCTGAGCTTTATCATGGTCGAGGTTCTCTTCTGGTAACTTGAGACTTGGCAAATGCCTATGGTAGAAATCAGGATATAAATAACATTAACAACAGTCTCACTGACTTAACAAAAAGTACCGGTACAAGCAAATTTACACTTCGCAAAAATCACACTAAAAATGCTCAGCAAGGTTTTATAGAGAACTTTCAAAATCAGTTTTTAATATTTGTTCCAACCCAGGTGCATTTGTTTGACATTGATGTTCCTGGGAAGATTCGTTTTCAAGAGTCTGAGGTTCTCTCCCCTGGTGACCATCTGACTATATTCACAACACGTCAGTTCCTGTTTTTTAAAATTAATTTTGTCATTAATTTAAGTTTTTGCAAGTTGTCACTCTTTTGACTGCAAAAAGTTGAATGATCGATTATTATTCTGTTACATACAAAAAGTCAAAACAAGAGTTTTAAAAGCCTGAAAACCATTAGTAGGGCTAAACTACATGTTTGATGCTAGCACTAACTATAGTTGAAAAGTGTATCCATTTTTTTGTTGACAGCGTTCTGCACAATTGGTGTTGGCATTTGCTATGATATAAGGTTCGCAGAGATGGCTCAGATCTATGCCAATAAAGGTAAGTTGAAATAGGAATCAGAAAACTTTGTATCTCAAATTTTTGTCTTGGTAATTTGTGTTAATGATTATCATTTAAATGCACCCTTCAGTCTTCGCAAGACAATTGAGTAGCTATGTAAACCTCAGCAAATGGCTCACTAGGCCGATAATGGTTATCATAGATATAGGTTAAAGGCATCATACTTTTGTATTTATCATTTCTTTAATTCAGTCATTATTCTAATTTAGTACTTAGGTCACTTATGCCGTATCTAGCAGACACATTTCGGCAAATTTTTGGCTACAGTTTCCTCTCCCCAATCAGGCTCTCAGTTCTTCACAGGAGATACTGATACATACCTGCTCATGTTTTCCACCACCATCCTACATTGCAAACCATGAGATGTCAGTTTCATACAATCTGTCACAGGGTGTGCCTTGTTGCTGTACCCAGGGGCCTTCAACATGACGACTGGTCCAGCACATTGGGAGGCCTTACAGAGAGCCAGAGCTTTAGACAACCAGGTGTTTGTGGCCACAGCTTCACCAGCCCGTGACACAGGTGCCGGGTACATAGCCTGGGGCCATTCCTCAGTTGTAGATCCATGGTAATTTTATCAGTTTTAATTAGATTGCCTGGATCGATGTTGGGGAAGTGTGAATAAGGAGGAATTTAAACAGTGGAGATGGAAGGATAATGAGAAAAGTGAATAGGGGAGATGGAATGATAGAGGGGATATGTGAATGGTGGAGATGGAATGATAGGGGGATATGTGAATGGTGGAGATGGAATGATAGGGGGATATGTGAATAGTGGACATGGAATGATATGGGGGGATATGTGAATGGTGGAGATGGAATGATAGGTGGATATGTTAATAATGGAGATGGAATGATTGGGGGGAACTGAAATTTTAATGTTAGCAAACCTGGTCTACATTTTGTCAATATCATAATCCAGTTTTTGACGTGTTCAATGAAAAAAAGATGAAGTAACCCTTGAATCAACTGTTGACCCCAAATGTCATTGAGTGTCATAGTTGTCTTCCCTACCTTTCCTCAAAATCCCTCTAGACATTGACAGTGTATACTCATTGTTGAAATGGGTTTTGGCTGGTGTTACATTAGGCAAGCAGACCACCTTGGTGAGAAGAGCAGACTGGTATAGCTGGTGGGTCATAAGCAGCCCAGGCTGCCATTTTTTAGATGGAGGATGATACACTCTAAGAGTACTGGGATGAATACCTAATAAATCAATTCATATCAATTAAACAAAGACTTGCTTTAAAGAAATTTTCCTAGTGCCTGCTATGAAATCTCTCCACAGGGGTGATGTCATTTCCACCATTGATGAAAAGGAAGGAATTGTCTATGCTGATATTGGTAATAAGATTTGTTTTTTAACAAAGGTCTAAGATAATTATCTATTTTGATTGGTAGGCTGCTTGTTAATTATATTATATTCAATGAACAGGTGCAATATCAGGTGAGTGGAAGATAATCTTATTTGTTATGCATTCTTGTGAACAAAGTTGTTTGCTACAAGTCGATCTTTTCCCCATCAGCCTCTCCAAAAGGTTGTGGGATTAAAAAAAAATATATAAAATCTGCATCTAAAATGCACCCAGTGTCATTTTTCAATTTGATCATTACCATTATGTTATTTTAATAATTAATTTGGATGAGAATTTAGCAAATAAACTTCCAGACTAGTTATTTTTGTGTTTTCTTTGTAAAATGCATCAGACAGTCCCAAAGGATTATACATATTAAATGGTGTTGGAATTTCTCAAATGAGAATGGGCACAGAGGGATAGAAAAACCAAGTCAGTGTCTAAAATATTTGTTTAGCAAAGTTTATTTATTTTTAAAGGAATCCAAGACATGATCAAATTTTATTTCAATATTACAGATCTGGCCAGGATGGAGGAAGTGCGTAAAAATATCCCCATACGTAACCAGAAACGTCTTGACCTGTACAATCCAGTCTCTGTGCCTTTGAAAAGTCAGCGGAAAGATGATTTGTACGACATCCATCAGTAACCTCTCTGGGCACGGAGGTTGCTGCAGATAAATGCTAGACTAAGAAGCTGCAGAGGAACCAAGCAGGTGAATGCTGAGCATGGACACACTAGGATATTGGACACTTGTGTTTGTTGTTGGGATGGGATATTACTCAGAAATATAACTATGATATTCTGGATGGTGTGTTGACAAAATATGAAATCTTGTCATTTTCTTTACAATGTCTTTGACAAGAGTAGGCTGGCTAGGGGGGCTATTTAAATTTAATAATAAAAAAAAATGATTTCTATTTCAGATATCTTCAGTTTCCACATTTACTTGCTTTAACTTCAGTGTATAACACATTTGACTGGATTACCCAAAAGTGAACCTCACCCTTTTGTTTAAAAATACAGTTGAATATTTTAATTCCCCATTTGTGATAATTTGTGTTTTTGTTTCTAAAGAAGTTGAATTATATAAAACAATTTGAATTATTTGATAAAAGCATGACGAGTTTAAAACCCACTTAAATTTGGTTAAGAATTCAACTCATCTTGTATTTAATTAAGTCAGCTTGTACTCAAGTCAAGATGAATGTTTTGTGTGGGGAAATGCAGTTAGCAGAACTGAACCAGACCTGGCATCATACATACAGGTATCAAATTATATTGCCATTAACTTCAGTTGGTGTTTTGAAAAATATTCAGATATTTTTTTTCTTTACTCAGTGTGCCTACTTAAGCGGGGCTAACCCTTAAGTTCTAGTGAAATAATTTCAGGAACCTCCAGCAATGTTTTTGTTCAAGACGAAATTTTACTTTAACCTTTTGGTGAAAAACCTGATCTAATTTATAGATGGCATTGTGAGTCCATGATGGAACTAATTTATAGATGGCATTGTGAGTCCATGATGGAACTAATTTATTGATGGCTTTGTGATGGTTTAGCTTCTAAACTTGTCAAAAGCCTTTCCATGTAATTTTTTAAAATGTTTTTAGCAAATGACTTTCAAAAAATCAATCTAACCTTTGTTCTGCAAGAGGTAAATCAAGTTTGCACAGAAGTGTCAGCTTTTTTGACAGTTGATTTTTGTGTGATTTTTCACTAGATAAGTACAGATGTGTGGCAATATGTTGTGTAATGCTATAGAACTATATCGGATAAGGTAGTATAATTGTGTGATAATTTTTTTTAATCAGCTCTTTAATTTAAACTATGCTCAGATTTATTTAAGAATCTTGATTGACCATTTCTATTAATTGACCATGCCTATTAAACTAATGGAACTAGCTGTAATAAATTTTCTAGTATAACGTCAATCCAAAATGTCACAGAAATTGAGGCTGTGAAAGTTAACATGATTATTATTAGTGTTCATTTTATTTTATTAAGTACTGTAATTTTGTTTAATGATCTTTGAAGCTTGTTACTACTTATGTGCTCTTAACACTGGCTTGAATCAAAATAATTTCTCTATCTAGTTCTCCCTATTTGTTGATTGAGTAGCTTGGGATTTTCTCATTTAAATGACATGAAATTCTCCTTGAAATCTTAAACAAGTCTGATTGATTAGCTTGGGATTTTCTCATTTAAATGACATGAAATTCTCCTCGAAATCTTAAACATTTCTGATCACCAGGAAAGCAACATTTTATTAATCAAAGTCTGGAAGTTGCTTTTTTTTAGATGGCTACCTGTTTTTTTTTTGGCATGAAGAACGAGCAGACAAGATTTAAACATTTATGAGTCATTTGGGGGAAATGAATTTTTCAAAAATAATCTTCAACTTATTGATGTTGTCTCTCACCATTGAGTTGACAATAATATTAATAAATAATGTTACTGTGTGACAAGATAGAAAATAATGTTGAAAACCTTCCCATTAATTAATATATTATATGTAATATAAGACTCACTCTGATTCAATACAGTTTTACCTTTACAATATTAAATAAAATAATTATGGTACAGACATTTTTAACAAATAAAATAACAAACTCACCATGCAAAATTTTTAGTTTATTGGAAGATTGTTCAACTTTAAATTCAGCTTTATTTCTAGGTAACATTTCTGAAATTCATTGGCTTTCATTAGCATTGTTTTTAGCACAAACGTTGATACAGTTTTTTATCATGACACGGATAGTAATGATTCCTGTAGGGATAAATATTGAAAAGCCCGAATTCCTATTAAGTGTCAGTAGCATCATATTTCAACCTAAGCTGGGACTAGAAATAGTGGGAGCAGCACTGTTTAATTTCATTTCAAATTCTTCATGCATACATATAGACTTGTTTTATTGGCCATCAGTGGGCAAAGAGATTGAAATGGGTTCGCCATCTCCGGAAGGCGGCTACTTCTGGGAACAAGTTAAATTGTTAAATCCTGAATATTAAGAAAAAGTAATGAAATATTTGTATAACAAATATTCATAATGAACTCCAGCAATAAACACCGTTACTGGTATGGCCCACAGTACAAAGTGTACTAAGTCAAAGGTCCGGGGGGGGGAGGGGGGGTGACTCGCCTGCTCGTCATAAGGTCATAAAAAACTTGTAGAGAAATTCAGTTATGGAGAGATCACCTTGAATGATCCTCCCCACAAACTCCTCCTTCTCGTTGAGGAGGATGAGCACCCCCATGAGGACCCAGAGGGTGATGGCGATCATGTTGCACCGGAAACTGATGGAATCAATGGGGGCTTTGGTCTTCCCGGTGCCTGAAGGTGTCATGATTGAATTTAAAAAAAAAAAAGAAAATAATGGATTAAATCTGGTTTGTTAAAGTGGATAGGAACTGTTTTTTTTTTTGTATTTTTTTTTCAAAGGATAGAATCTGTTTTTTTTTTTTCAGAGGGTGGTGGCGATCATGTTGCACCGGAAACTGATGGAATCAATGGGGGCTTTGGTCTTCCCGGTGCATGAAGGTGTCATGATTGAATTTAAAAAAAAAAAAGAAAATAATGGATTAAATCTGGTTTGTTAAAGTGGATAGGAACTGTTTTTTTTTTTGTAATTTTTTTTCAAAGGATAGAATCTGTTTATTTTTTTCTCTCTCTTTCTGTTGTTTTGATTAAGAAAAGCAGAGATTGGCAGAAAAATTACAGGACAGGTAAAAATTTCTGGGATTAGAAACAACAAGACAGTTTTTTGTTGTTGCTATTTCATATTTAGACAATTAAAAAATACATTTAATTTTAAGTAATATCAGTAAAAAAATATGTACATAGCTTTAAAATGCAGATTTTGAAAAGGGTATTTCTGCCATATACTCATATATCATATGGGATATGAATGAAAGTAACGTTTACCTTGCCTTGTTACGCCATGTATGAAATATTTAATGTTACAATTTAAAAAAAAAAAAAATTAAATAAAAATCGCAGAGATTGAACCAACAGTTAATAAGATATAAATGGATGCCTTGTTTTCTTCAATTGAAACGTGTAGGTTGAAATTAAATTATCCAAAATCTCATTTATCTAAAATTAAGGCCTAAAACAACCGGTTAAAAAGATATTTAATACTTATTTATTTAGAGTTATTCCCCTCTAAATGATTAGCAGACGACTTTTTGGGCTCAGTGAATCGTTGGCAGACTTGGGAGCTCGTCACTCCTATTAATGTTCGTTTCCTGATTTTTGTTAAAACTCGCTGACTCTTGATCTTGGTAAATATTTGGCGGATTCACGTCCAAGTTTGACTCTTCTAATGGAGCAATGTCCGTGTCTGAAATGTTGCTCCCTTCGTCGTAGGCTACTGATGTCTGACCCACATCCTCGATGGACTGGCTCCAGCGCTCAATCAGTATGCATGCAAGGGAAACAACCGCGACGAAGCTGCAGATGGGCAAAAAGTTGTTAATGGTCCTCAAGACGAAGCCGACAATCGCATTGAGGAATGTAGTCAACAAATCCATAGGCTTACTTTGTACTGGTGTGAGATGGTGAGTTTCTTTGCAATTGCGCCAAAAAGACGACACAGGAAAATGTTGGAACCATAGTACAGGTAGTGATTGTCGGGATTTTATTTGTAGTATAGGTTTATAATCTCTTCGACATATTAGTCTTTTAAAAAAACATCAATTTTAAACACTAGCAAAAATCAAGAGCAAGTTCTATTGATAACCATATCCCACGATTATTAGATTGTAAATGAATTTTATGGGGCAAGAGTCTACTGACATTATATTATTTTCTTGTTTAATTTTGGAGGCGGTAAAGTTGGTCTAATCATGAAAATGTTCCGTCAACAGATTCTCGTGGTGCATCATTTCACTTGACGTTCAATGAGCCGCAGGGCACGAGATGTACAGCAGACGAGATACGGGGAAGGCAACCACCAAGCAGCCAAACGACCTCGATCACGTGACGGTCTCTTATTATTGGATTACATCATAGTATCATAGAGTAAGAGAAAACGTTGATCGAGCTCTGCAAACAGAAAAAAAGTCAATGACACACATATTTAGTTTTAACCACACGTAATTTCAAACAAATAATTAATTCATTGTAGCTTACATGCTGCTGTTTCATTTTTTTTTCTCGAGTTTTTAGTTTTTCAATGATAAAAAAATGTATGCAAAACTATAAGCAAGTGTAATTTAATGTTTGACTTTATCAAACGTTTTCTGGGGACTGTTTTACAGAACCCTCCTCTACAGAGCCATCCACCCTTACTTCTGCCCCCCCCCCCCCCCCCCCCCCAAGTA